AAAAGTGGTTGTATCTTCCATAACTGTAAGATTTCTTCTTAGTGTACCTTTCCGTTTTCCCCATCATTGTTCTCTCTCTCTCTTCTTTTTTTTATATATCTATAATTCCCCACGTTCATTACTTTTTTTTCTCTTTTCTCCTTCTCTTCAAATTATCATTGTTTTGTGTGGCGCATATATATTTGGTGCCCCCCTGTACCAATATTTATGTGTTCAAATAAACAAAATAAATTAATAGAGTAGGACTTCCTTGTTAATGGCTGTATACGCGTGACCATGTGAGAGATGATCCTCCCCACACTCCGCCATACCTGGGGATTTCGAGTCTAGTTAAATAATTCAAAAAATAAACTTCTGATTTACATTTTAAATGCTAAAAAATTAGTTTTACATTAAAAATAGTAACCCACTCAAATGACAAGAAAGTTGGGGAAGAGTTGACGAGTTCCCCTTCATTGTATTAAAAAACAGTAAAACTGTATTTTATTGAATTTTAACGAACAAAAAAAAACAAATGGATTATATGTAGATTAACTGCTCAAACCGGTTGAACAAGAAAAAAACAAAAACAATTATTTGTAAATAAATATAAAGTTATGGTCAAAGCAAATAACTAACTTTTCGATCAGCAAATAGTAGAGCAGTTTGTGCATATTGTAATAAATTTAATTTTATATCTGTATCAAAAACAAGTGATTCCCATAGACCTGACATTTCTGCTGATGGAAGTAACCACGTAGTTCCACCATTTATAGACTCTGAACCGAATTCAATTAATTCTTGAACTGGTAAAGCTTCATCTCCATTAACCATTTGATAAATATGTACTAAAATAGGTGTAGTACAAAGATTAACTGATCGACCAGTATCATTATCATAAATTCCATCAGCTTCATCAAGCATTAACTAAAATTTAAGCAAATAAAACAAATGAATAATAAATAATTACAAATTTCTAATTATTAATTTTGATTAATAAACAAATGAGTTTTGTAAGCTTTTGATATTTTGACATCTTCAAGTTCAATAAGCACAAATAAAATCAACTTGAAAATGACGCAAAATCCACGTGAAGAAAAATAATACTTCGTACTTTCTTGCAGTTGGACATTGAATAATATTTAAAAAGCTTTGAATGTTTATTTGAAAATAGTATTCAGTAAATCAGCATTGACAGTAGGGTCACTAAAATCGAAGAACATTTTCATGTATTTCGTGTGACTCTGAAAATCAGTCACTCGACAACAACGTACGTACATCAGTTTAAGTTGCCATACCACATTAGCACAGAGATACACTTGTCGATTCGAATCCCGTAGTTGTATTGGTAGTTAAAGTATAAGCAGTAATAAGAAAGATCAGGGTTTGAAGATGTTATTCAATGTGTAACCTAGCGAAATAAATTAGGAAGGAGAAAAAAAGGGACATGAAGAATTCAGATTAGAATTTGGGAGAAGACAAAGAGTGGGTTCACCTGCACCATCGCAATCGATTTTCAGCCATGTCATTCAAAGTCTCTAACTATCGTCTCGCGGATCCCAACCCAGTAGTCTACACCTACCAACATAGCTCAGTCTACCTGTCAGTGACTTTATGGATTTGTGCCATGTTTTGGTCTGGCCGCCCCCAGCTTTCTTCTGGTAAAGTTTCACTACTTCACCAATTGATTTTCCATCCTCACCTAGTACCCGTCTCCTAACAACTGCATTACTTACTAGGTGATCCCAGGATATACGAACAACGCGTCGAGGATACCTATGATCAAATACTGGTAAACTACGAATATCCTCTACTCTTACCGGCCATGTTTCACAGCCATAAAGTAGGACGGAACGAACTGCTGTGCAGAATACCCATCCTTTGGTTGGTAGACTGATGTCTCGCCTACGCCATAAATGATGCAGGTTGGCAAAAGCTTATTATCATTTATTATTTGAACACATAAATATTGGTACAAGGAGGCACCAAATACATATGCGCCACACGAATCTCATTTGGTTTGTATGAGGGCTGTGATATTGCCCGGGTGCCCAAACCGAAACAGGTGGTTTTCTTAGGGGGCCACACCCCGAGCCTTCGACCTAAAGGTCTGACCCGCAAGGCAGTGGAGCATCGTGAGGAGATGCAGTCCCATGGTAACCGGTAACCAACGATTGGTTCATACGTCATTTGTTCCCTCGGGATACTGGAGCCTATATGCACCATTTGGTTTGGAATCAGGGTTTTCCAACTCCCTTAGGTCGAGACTTCTGAATCCGTGCTGAGATGGAATCTTAATTTACCATAATGGTTGGAGTATATTTCCGTATACACTCAAGTTACTTTGTTGATGTACATACATACATTTTATAATTAAATAACAGAATTTAAGTATTTTAACTTTGTATAACCCAACTTACATTAATTGAAGCAACACAACTAGTAAGAACCTGATGAAACTTATTCACCTCACTATTACATGTTACTAAACTCAATTCATTATCAAATTTGTTTAGGACAGTTGGTATGTGTCGAGGACCAAGTTGACGTAGAAATTCTACAACGTAAGACTCAATGACAGTAAATTCTTCACAATTATACGGAGATACACAAACTTCAGCATGAACAGGTCGTAAAGAAGGATCAAATGTTGTTAAATTCTGATGTTCACACATACTACTATTGGATAAGTTTAGACCGCACTGAATTCCACTATTGTATATATTCTCTTTATTATTAAGTGCATTCTCATCATTGTTTTGTTGCATTCCAATGACACTAGAAGTTCTCAAACAGTTGTTCAATGATACGTCTGGTAATTCTCCTTCCATTGGATACACAACACTATACGACAAATAAAAATGAGATGAAAGATCTGAACGAACATATTACAAGGTATTTAGTGATAAACATAAATTTAATTTATCAATCGAGGTCTACAGTTATTATTGTGACAGCCAATGATATCTGCTAAGTCATCCAAGTGTGAATCCACGAGATTTACCAATATATATTTATACATACATATCGAAAGTGAGTACGCTAACAATCACGCTGAGATCGACTTCGAAATGTAATGAATAAATACTTCTGAAGTTTTTTGAGGATTGTTAAGTCCTTCATGGTGAGAAAAATTTAACCAGTGTAACTACAATACTAAATGTTCAGGATTGCAAATACAAAAAAGTTTTGAAGTGACTCAATATGTAAAATCTTAACTTCTGTACAAATTAACAAGGGACAGAATGCATGAAACCGTTAAAAATTGAATGCATATGTGTCCTTCCTAAAGGTAGCTATTTAAATTTAGATCTTTTTATGACTTATACCGACTTCAACTAGTTCCTATAAGTCATTTGTACAATTCAACTCAACAACTCTTCATTGATTTTGCTTGACTAGATAATTATGCCACGTGAACAAATAAGAATTAGTAGGGAAGAGAAATGCAAAATACAACCATTTATCAAAAAAATTTGACTCCCAATTCTTTTGTTTCCTGAAAGTACCACAGCAACTATATAATCAAGCAAATAGCAAATAATTTAAACAAATCCCTATTTTACAACCACTTAAACCTCCAATTATGAGTAAAAATTTCTTTTCTATACCCACGATTCGATTGCATTTCATGTATTGGGTCAATTACTTGTTGATTTGCCTCTCAGTTTCAACTTTAATGTGATTTTCCTCACGCTAAACACAACTGAATGAAATAAAAGCAAAGTCAGGGTGCATCTTGTGAAACTGGAATTCCAATTACCGATTACTTGTAAAATCATCAAAGATAACTTTTTTATCTCAACTACACAATATCCAACATACGTCTACCTAGCTTCGTATAAACTACAAACGTTTATTCATGATAAGTAATATTCACTATGTTCAAGCCACAATCAACGTAGTCTTACAGCACTTACCATTACGCAAACTAATACATGGCATCTTCCCTATGATGTTACTTCCCAGGAATCATACATTAGTTTCAAATATTTCATTTTGTAGTTCACTAATAGATTTTCGTATATTACTTGGTACATGGCCCTATTAATTAAAACACTAATATGCTTAATATTCGTTTTCATTTAATTCTATCCATGAAGTTCAAGTAATCATACATTTTTATATTTTAAACGAATTTTTCTGTAATAATCAAAGAAAAAGATGTACGAAAACTTCTAAGAGGCATTTAATAGTTTACGGTAGAACATTTATCTGGTTGATTCATTCCTATACAGCACGAACGCATAGTTCAGGGATGCTTGTATGGCTAGTTGATACATGAATGTAGTCATTTTAATTATAGTTATGTAATTCCACTGTTGGTTTTTTTACAGCCCACTTACTCTGAACTATGAGCTAATTTTGGATAAATGTTTTGGAAAAATAAGAGGAATACAGAGACAACTTTTTAGCTTCTATGTTTGGTATGCTCTTTCAGTTTCCATATCTTCAGAGTCAAGATTTTCCGACTAGTATAACAAATTTCATGTATTCACTAAGTTCCATTGGCTTCTGTATTTTGACAGTTTAAATTCTTAGTGCATATTTGCATACAAGCTCCCTTTTCCCAATATTCATACCTGAAATCAGCCAAAGCAAACCATCTTTACACAATTTAACTCCCATTACAATGGTAGGTTACATCAGTTCTGTCTCGATAGATTTCACACTAAAACTACAGTTTGACGATAAGAAGAAAATTTAATATGTTGTTAAGTACTCAATGTATACTGAGGTATTACACTTGAATAAGGAAAACAAATCATAGTAAAACTATGGTATGCATAACAATTCACCTTTAAGTTACAAATGAAGATATCATTCATGATATATATATATATATATATATATATATATATATATATCACTACTATGATATTTCAAGCAAGCATTTATAAGAATTTAACATCAAATACTCGTTAATTTATGTATATTGATCATAAGAATTTATACACTATGTACAAAAGTATGAATATCGATAGATAAGTGGAATAAATGCACTGCAACTTATTTCGGAGTTACTGTTTATTATGATTCAACTCTAAAAATCGTTCATATAGTGCAGAAAGACTATTAGAAGCTAAGAGTTGACATTCTGCATCTGCATCAGACAACGAACATGATTTTAACCAGCTAGAAATAGTATTTTCTACAGAGCTTTTTGTACTATCAGATAAAAAGATTGACTTTCTAAAAATCAATTCAGGTTTATAAGATAAGATTTCCAGTGGAGTAGTAGTGATAACTGTTCCAACGACTATGTGTAGAGCACGTCGTACTGCAGGTTCCGGATGTCGATGAAATAAAGGAATTAAATTTATCAACTCGTCAGCCATTCGAGTTTGGACAGGTGAGAGACTGGAGCAAGCATAAATAGTTCCCAACGACGCCAATAAGCTAGCCAATAAACTAGCATCTTGATGAGCGAATGGTCCTTTAGCAGAAGAAAGAGATAACTGTGGAATGCTTTTTAGCAAGGGAAAAAAAAACTCTCCAGCAAAAGGAGCAAACTTATTAATAATATAGGAAGGTGGTGGGCGCTTTTTACAAAACCGACGGCTTTTTTCTTTATGATCGTTGTTGACAGTGACCGCATCATTAATGGTTATCTGATTTGAGGAGAATTTTTGAGAGAGTAGTGCCTCTTTGCCCCCATACAACTTACAGGCAATATCAGTGAGAGATGATATAATATTCATCCTTTGGCCAATGGAATATCCTGATTGACAAAATTCTGAAGTCAAATAACGTGCGCATTTTTTGGGAGCAACTACACCAATAGCTACTAGGGCATCATGTCTGGCACGAGCTATCTGTTCCGGATCAGGTGTTACAGGTGGTTCAATATGAACAAGAACACGAGCGAATTCTAGTGCTAACTCTTGTGCCGCTTCCGGATGAGCGTAGATCAACTTTTCTGCAGACATTGTACATGCAATATTCACTGGATTATCTTCAACCTTAGATAATAACATTCCATCAAGACATTCACGAAGATAAAATGGTGTTTTATTATTGCAATTTGAAGAACTAATGGAGGGGAGTGGTCTTAATGCGTCACTATCACTATCTGGATCATCATCACTGTCTAGTTTATGTATAGCTTGTTTCGCAGTTTCACAGTTTTCGCCCTTTATGTCTAAAATAACAAAAAGTAGTTGAAATATCAAAGTCGCAATAGAATCAAAAAGGGGATATTAACAATTCAATAAGAATGAGCTTTAAATTAGGTGGAAAATTAAGGCTTAAAATTAATTCCAATATAGTTCACGTCACAAGCGTAAAGAATATAAAGGAATTGAATGTCATGTAGCAAGGCGAGTGAGATAGGAACATTAACCTTTTTAGCTAATATGGAAGGTAGTTACATATGAGACTGAGTTTTCGATCATATTAATATATTTATAAACATTAAGTGATGTCCAATTTTGGTAAAATACTAGTGAGTATATAATCATGAGATATATTTTATCAAGGACTGACAACACTTTATTATATATGAGTATAGATGAATGAGAGCAATTCAACGACCGAATTAATGTAGGCTCATGTACTAAACTATGAGCAAGATTTAGCGTATGCGAAACATCGATAAATACTTTTAAGGTGAAAAGTATATCAATCAAATACATAGCGATTACATACGGTATATCTAAGAAATCTTTGTTGCTAATAATTTCCAATATTAACAACGTATATAACAAAAGACGACTAAAGCGGGAATATTAATAGCCTTCACTGAGAACGATCCCAAATAGTTCCTCTAGAACTTTAACCAGGTATTCATGGTGCATGAGTGGGTGTTAGTTCAACTAAGCAACCACACTATGACATAAAGTAACCGTATCATCAACTTTCTAGTCACTAGACAATCCTCAATATGGAGTTTGTTGAGATGTCACATGTAAAACTGTCGCCACTTTTGTTCAACTTTATCATAGACATACTGATGGAAATAACGTTCTCATCGACTGAATTTTCGGGCATTGATCTTCTATCAGGAGGTCCACTTATCTACTTAGAATACACAAATGACATAATCCTGTTTGGTGAAGACGCTGATAAAATGTAGTATTTCGGTAGCACTAAGCGACAATGCCAGGGTGTTTAGGATGCGTTTCTCCTACCCCCTCTAAATGAAAATTGTTGCCAAACCAAAACGTGGCATCAGTGCTTGAAGTCACTAACTTCTAGTTTTGGCCATTTTGGTAGATACGGACTATTTGGTTGGGGTCCGCGTGACTATTATAACTAATGGTTGGAGACTTGGTGACATGGCTCATAACCGATCACAATGGCGTAGGTGTATACACTCTTTGTCTTTCCTTAAACCGTCAGATTAAAATTGCCTTATACCTTTCTTTCTATCAACTTATTATCTCTCCCTGTATCATATCCTCATATGTAATCTTTATTTACATATATTACTACCACTAAAGTGACTGCTTTTATGAATTTGGTGTTCATCTTGCTGCGCTAAAGAGGTATGGCAACTTGGACCGATACATATATGTGCCTGGTCCTACGTTGTAGCTGACTGATCTATTTTATTGTACATTTTTTTGACGCAATTTTTTTCCAAAACACAATAAATATAGGTTTCTTCTTATTTAGATTCACAAAGAATATTGAAGATCCCAGTAAATAGTATTAATTTAATTTGGAAATATTCACATATGATATAATGGTTGTATTGAGAAAAACTATTGTAGTTTAATGGTTAAATATTATCTGAATTAAGAGCATGTAAAGAGAAGAAGGACTTCACATCAAACTACTTGAGTCAACGCACTCAGTAGGTGGAGCTAGAAATGACTTCTGGACGACCCCTTACTTGTAAGAGAAACGTAAATTTGCATCCTATGATGCTAACGTGAGCGAATTCAATTATTCTTTCGGTTTAACTAAGGGGTAGATTATTAGAAATCTCGTCAAAAAGTTGGAACCAATGCTTCTATTTACCACAGACGCCAAACACTCAGAGCTAAATATTGCGAAGAGTAAATAGTAAAGGTTAGTTACTACAGGCAATAATCGGAAAGGAGAAAGTGATATCAAAACAGCAGGAGAATATTCGTAAGCTGCTGGGTATTGGTTACTTCTCAGATATCTACATTGTGGGTGGATTTTTATAAACCACGCTTGATGAAATTCCTACTTTTTGGTTCCCGATAATAGACTCCCAATACGAATATTCAAGAGACATCTATTTGGGGTACTTTTAAAGCCTGAGTGAAAACAATAATAACTTTTACATACTTTTCACCACTAAAAATAACTCCTTAACGGTCCTTGTCCTGCAGTAAAGTTATATTGCACTAAGTTCTACTCCGCTGAAAAGGATCTTGTTGTTACAACCTATCACGATTAGAGCGAAATAATGTCAGGTTCTTCCTAACACAAAAATACAGTATTTTTCTTAGAGCTAATATTTAAATTAACTACATTATATCTAGGGCATTTGGTTTTAAAAATCATTGGTCAAGTTTCCTACCACTATAGAACGTAATGGATCAAGTTGCATTCAACTTGGATGGACTGTCAACACCAGTAATTATTATCATTATGGAGGTGTGCTATTCCTTAGTCAGAATATTATCGAAATCGGTAGTCAATCAAGTGAGATTGTGCAAAAAACGGTTATTGAAAATAAAAACTTACTGCATTCAAGTGAACCAGAGGCGATTTTGGAAGACTCTACACCTGAAAGTGTTTGAATTGGAACTGAATTATGATCACCAGACTCAATATCAACAGCCTCATCCAGAGGAACAAAATATGGTCGAATATGACTAAGAAAATTTAGTTCTTCATAATCAAATTTCAACTTCTGATTCTCATCACCAGGGCTCCAATTGAAAATTTTCACAATCCACTCCCCTATAACCATACCGAGAGTACGAATTTCGATTCGCGGACTTCCAAGGTGATTACTGATTCCATTCAGTACATCAGGTAATAAGTGATCATTGGATAAGTTGATGGACAAATTAACACGCACCGGGTCTCGAAAATCAATAATCCATGAAATCAATATTTGCGACAAATAAATACGTCTTTCTAGGGAAGCTGTTTGTATGGAGTTTATGTCTGACCATACGCGAAGTGCAGGTAGTCCCAAATCTTCATCAACTCTGGTAGCTAGACAGGTTGATTTCTCAAGCGTCTCACAGTTTGACACAGCCATGAAAAACGAATAAAAAATGTTTCTGACGGTGTTTCCAGATTTAAACTGGCGAATGTAGAATAGACGACGACATAACCTCATATACGAATCAAAAGTAGGAGAGGACATTTCAAGAAATCCTGATAACAACGCATAATATTTTTGTGGTGTTGGACATTCTTTAACGAGTGAAGCCAAGCACATTTCCATACTTTTTGTGTTGGTATGTAGTAGTAATTTAGACCAAATGTCCGTGGAATTATGTTGTCCCTGCTCAACAATAAAATCTGAGACATATTTTGAATACCCGGCCAAACATAGATGACTAACAATTAATCCTAAAAGCCGATATGTGATTTGTGATGTATCGGAAACACGTCCAAAGGCCGACAAAATGTTCTTGACAAAATGACTCCCATCAGTGAAGTAGGAGGGATTCTCACGTTTAACGTTAGCAACATAGTGAGGCACGTTAGCCAATAACCTGGCACGTGACTCTAGAAACAATTGCGAGCTATCTGAGGCAACTTCACTACCATCAATGCAAGCAGAAATAAAATCTGGCACTCTGTTAAACTCTGAGAAAAACTTTTCTAGTTCAACTACTAGTAAATGGGCTTCCGTAAATACAATATTGCGTGACAACAAGTTGCAGGCAGACTCAAGCCAAATATCGCCTTTCGAAAATTCCGTTAAAAATCTACACAATGATAACATTTCAGTAGTTGGTAAGTCGTTGACAATCTTGAAAGTGTGGCCCATTATTTGGTGGAAGTATTTGTCATAGAGCAGTTTTTCATCTTCTTTAGTAACCCTGAAACCTAATTTGTCATGTTTTAAGGGGTAGTGTACTAAGCCTTTAACACACTTAATAATATCCTTCTTATCTGCATTGGTAAGAAAGTCATTTACCAAATTTATCATCCCCGTGTAGCGAATACTCCATCCATCCGCCTAATTCAGTATCCAATACTTCAGTCTTCAGTAATAAGGATAGTAGGTTGGTGAACCTGTGTTAATCGTAACAGATTGCCTTCTAGTGAAGGTCCAGTTTCTCCTTGAAAATATTCACTGACGGGGCTGATATCACTTGTTCGGGCAAGGCGTTCCAATCATTGACTACTCGATGAGAAAAACGGAACCCCATTTTAAGTTTATTAGATCGCGGTTTGTGAACCTTCTTACTATGACTTCGGAGATTATTAGTGCTAGAGGAAGCAAAAAGATACGAAATGCCAGTATAAGGTCACCTCGAGTCTTACGATACGACAAGGGAAAAAGGTCTAGGGGTTTTAAATGCTCATCGTAAGGGAGTTTAGAAAGACCCTTCACTAATTTCGTTCTCACACGCTGGACACGCTCAAGTGAGTTAATATCCCTTACCATACATGGGCTAGCTGCTTGGATACAGTACTCTAAATGTGGTCTTACATAGGTGGGATATAAAATTCGAAACATTTCCTCGTCAAAGGATTTGAACGCTCGGCGAAGTGACCACAACGCACGAAAACCTTTGACAGCGGCTGCGTTGCAGTGCATAGTTGTTTTTAAATCATGACTTATTATTACTCCTGAGTCTTTATGTTCTTGAACGCATGGAAGAGGTTTACCATCAATAGTATAATGGTAACTATTGCCGTGACCGATGTGCATTAGCACGCTCTTCCTAGAATTGATTTCGAAACCCCAACCTGGAGCCCATCTAGATAAATCATCTAGGTCAGCTTGAAGATCCAGATGATCAGCCTCACTTCTTATTGTTCTCCAGATTTTGACATCATCCACAAATAATAATGTCGACGACCTGAGCAACAGCGGTAACTCATTTACGTAGAGAAAGAATGTCAGAGGGCCTAAGATGGTGCCTTGGGGTACACCACTTTTGACCGGCTTCCAATCGGATAGCGTCTCATTGACCCTCACTCTTTGTCTGCGGTCAAATAAGAAGTTTCCTATCCACTCCTGTACAGTGCCTATTGTTCCGAAGTTTGTGAGCTTCTGCATAAGACCTAAGTGTGAAACCTTGTCAAATTCTTTGCTAAAATCTATGAATATAACATCGACAGAATGACCTTCATCTAAGGCTGCTGTCCAATCTTCTCTTTCAGTAAGTAAGTTAGTCAAGCATGAACGCTTGTCACGGAATCCATGTTGCTCAGGAGCTAACAGATTGTGTGAATCTATGTGGCTTAGCAACCTAACCCGAATTATCTTTTCATTGGCTTAACGACAGTGCTAGTCAGACTGACAGGCCAATGGTTAGATACGATCTGTCTCTAACCATCCTTAAATATAGGACTGACAATAGCGTCTTTCCAATCCCTAGGGAGTTGAGCTAGTGAAGGGGACATGTTGAAGAGTGTTGCGAGCGGTTTTGAAATAATGTCCGCAAGAGATGACAGCAGCCGTGGATGTAACCCGTCAGGACGCGGTATCTTACAGGGTTTGAGGTTAATTATCAACGGAAGGACAGTTTCCTCAGTCACCTGTACAGATTCAATAGCTGGTATCTCGGTGTGATTGAGACAAGTATTCGTTTCAATAAACGTAGTGTAGACTTTGCTAAAATAGTTTGAAAATGTCTCAGCTTTGGCTCGATATGATTCAGCTATTAAATCTGAATTATCGTGTAACAATAATGGGGGAATACTATCACTACGTTTTATTCGCCGTTTAACATACGAAAACAATCGTTTTGGACAAGTACGGCTATCATATACCAACTGTCGTTCGTAAGTAGTACGGGATTTAGCTATTGTTTTCTTACAAATATTCCGGAGTTTTTGGTACTCACGGTTAAATGATGCAGGACCTGTCAACAAGAATAAGTCACAAAAGTGTTTCCTACGCTTTAACAGATTTCGGGTTTCCTTATTAATCCATGGAGGGCGATGCGATCGCTACGTGCTGACCATGGGATATACGGCGACGTTGCGGACTCGAATGTAGCCCTAAACTTATTCCATTCGTCTTCGATCGATCCATCTGCGTCAACCGACCAATCAGTAGAGATAGCACAGTTTCTGCTTGCCGGAATATTAGCCCGCCAGATATTGGGACGGGATGGAGCAGATACAAATCGTATACCATGTGTCCTAAACTTGAAGTGAAGTACAAAATGATCACTGTTCACTAGTGGAGGAAGGTGCTGAATATCAAAGACATCCTCACAGTGGTTCGTGAGGGCGAGGTTCAGCAGTGACGGATCACGTTTCAAATCAATATGTGTCGGTTTAGTGATACATTGGACAAGTGCACACTGAACAACTGTTGATAAAAGGTCGCTATCGAAACCTCCACCTGAAGCTGTAAGCTCTATCCAGTTGATGTGCGGTGCGTTGAAGTCCCCAATGATGCGACAATATTCTCCCATACTCCAAGAACAGATGTGTCTTGGGATAAAGTCGTCAGCATGACAACACGGACTACGGTATATTCCCCCTATAGTCACTAACCCGTTTCTAGATTTAACCTTACAACATGCTACCTCATATGTACCACTAACATGAGCCTCCGATATGATTGATTGTGTACGAAAGTGATCCCTAATGTATAACATTATGCCTCCCCCCTTGCGACTTAAAACTCTATCACTTCTAATACAGATATAGCCTGCAATGATGGGAGAACATTCTATACCTACGGTGAACCAAGTTTCTGTAACAACAATTATATCGGGACTTAATTCATCCACCATCAGACTTAGCTCGAACGTTTTATTCCTAAGACTACGGGCGTTCGTGTAGCACACACTTAAGGTGTTTTGGTAATCATTCGTTCTACCCATACAGGCCTCGGGAGCATTGGCTTCCAAGACCTGACTACCCGAAAACCCTTAATGGTAAAGTTAGTTTCGCCATTTAACTTGCGAGTTCTCAACTCCGTAAGAGCATTCTTTCGCTTGATTCGATCCTCAACCGGCCAATCCGGTCTGATACGAATATTTGAATCACGAATTTTTTGTACGTTTTTCAATAATATATCTCTTTCTTCAAAACTCCCTAGAACCAGCTTCAAGATCCTTCTTGGTTGGGTCTCGCCTCCAACCCATTTGCCTAGTCGTATTACTTTCGTGATATGTACTCCTGAAACCTCTTCAGGTAGTACGTTTCTTACGACGGATTCCACTAACCTCAGATCATGTGTGTATCTCTTAGCAGAGTGGTTGTCTATCGACCCCTCTAGATTCTAAATAATTAAACTATGGAGTGGTTTATTTTCTTTTGGAATCGTGTTCACAGCTATCGATCGTGACCTTACATCCTGTATATTAACTACTAGTATCTTACGATTAGTTTTTATTGTAGCAGAGTGATTGGAGTCGAGCGAGTGACTCACAACAATTTTTGAAGAGGCTTTGCTTTGGGACTTTGGTGGAGTGGTCTGAGAGTCCACTAAGGACTTATCAAGTAAACGGTCATTATTTTTAGCTGTCTTTCCTGCTCTTCTGCGTTTCCGCGTCATACATATTCCATCAGTCCTAGCATCTACATTAGAACTATTCGGGACAGTAATTGTTTTATCTGAATGACCAGTTGCTGCTGTAGCAAGATGGCCACCAATATCTAATGAGGTGTCACTATTGATTGTTTCGGGGTAGAAATTTTAATTTCGGGTTGCACAGCTAGATGTCTGACTTGCGCCGTGACAGCACTTACGACACTAACCCAATCTTCGCCATTAGTACCAATGTCGCCAGTAAAGCCCTCATCAACCTTCTTATTAGCCAACACCAGAAGGCTAATTGCTACCTGGATGAGTGATTTTTGCTCGAGCAACAAAAACTACAAAGCCAATGAGAGTTGGGCTTCGAGCACTTTTTATATGCTGCAGAGCTTAGTCGGGTGCACATCTTGTGGAACCACTTATTACACTCATCACATTGCATCCCTTCCTCCACAGGGAATAAGCAATATGGTTGTCCACATTTATGGGCAGATTCGGCCATCTTGAAAACCAATTACAATGGTGATACAAACAGGATATGTAAAAGAATACTAAAATCTTGACTAAATAAATCAAGTAAAAGTCGACCAAATATGCTTTGATGCAATAAATACATAAAGTCAAAATCGAAACACTCAATACAATATCACTTTAACTGGTGTAGATTCAATTAAAGTGTAAACAGTGGTTTTAATGCGTAATTTACGATCAAAACAGTTAATTAACTCAACGAGAAACAATACCATTGTCCTTTTAGATAGCGCGCGTGCTGTCGCAATAAATCGAATTTGTCGAGCTTGATAGAGCGTTGGACGCCACTTTGGGTCATAAAAGAGATCAATTCCATATTGTCTTGCCGAAGCTTGATTTTCATCAGTTTTGTCCTGCTTTTGACAACGTGGATCATCTACCTCTGGCCATAAGATTGTTTAATTCATATATTGGCAGTGCAATTACCAGTCATAATAAATGAGAATTTTACAGCGCAAATCCACTGTTTTTTCGTATTTGTGACACTTCAGTCTTTAGTAATGATAAGACATAAATTAACCCGTAGATGCAAATAAATCCCCAAAATCAATGGCTCTGTAAGTCTTCGATATTTAACGCTGACTGCATTAATTTTAATAGACTCACCTAGCTGAAGGCTCACAGTCATTCATTCGCACCAGATCACGAATAAGTACGCTGTTCTACATATCTCCTACAACCATCGGTCAACTTAGATTGATCACATCTCGATATATCGATATTCTACCAAATATATCTTCGAATCTTTTTGCTTTTGACTTCTGATCCCACTGGGTTAGCGCATTTAGATTATGAGAAATGTTACTGGTTAAGGTGTTGTCAAACTCCGAATACTTGCACCATCTTTAAAACCATTAGGCGGAGATTTTCTCCACGATTTTGTCGATGTGTTTCTAGTTCCACCAGTGCCATCTTCTACTTTATTCTCTATCCTAAGGACATAGCAGACCGCAGTCAAATATTGGTGTTATTGTGACCTTAAGCACCAGTTAACAAAAAATTTCGTTGTTCCTCCGACCCTAGGATTACTTCAATGAGTGTGTATAGTTGGATTTGAGCACATCAGTTGGTCCTCTTCTCTAATATTTCCAGTCTTTTATCCAAACTATTGTAGAGTTATTTGGTAAGGTGTCAGGAGCAAATGCTTTAACCTTTCCGAAATCTAACTTTCCATCAAGGTCACCTGATTTCGGCAAACTGCTTATAAGAATATTTGATTAAATTAGGCATTTTTCAGCCGTGCTAGGGTCAAGTCTAGTCTTAATTTAGGGTTTTGACGGTGCACTTTGTTATTCGGAATAAGAGTCTGCCAAAGACTCATCAAACACGTGGACGCGATTTGTAGCTTTTTCTTTTTCCTTGTTTTTGCACTATCGTCCATTTCCCATCACCTAGGACAGCCACTATGGGAATACTTGAAACGGTTTTATTTGGTTCTCTAAGTATTACTTTTTAATTATGACTATTAATATCAAGTGGCATTTCAATCCCTGTTTGTCTCAATCGAGATTTCCTTTTCCATGGTTCGCATTCATGCATTTGTCTCGTCCCAATACAACACGTACTACGCTGACAAATAAGCGCTCTTGATACCACTGCGGTAACCCTCGAAATTCTCTTTGGCTTACTCAAGAATGATCGTTAACTTCTTAATCACTAAAATCTTACTTGAACGCCGAATATTCAAAGTTAATAAGAGTTACGCTTCTGGTATATTTTGTATGTGATGGGATTTAAATGGATACACATGTCGTGAAACCAGTATTTGCACACGACACGTTGCATTCCTTCTGCCATAGGGAAGCAACAATTTGGCCGTCCACATCTAGCAGAATATTATAAATAGATGAGGGGGAAATATAGATGAAAATACACAAGTTAGTCATTAGTGTGAGAATCAACTAACAACGAATAGCACAGAACGGGTTGGAAGAAAATTTCAAACCTTAACCGAAACTATTCAGGTTAGAGTAGATTAAGTATGCTTTCGATGCAATAAATACACAGAAGTAAAGTGAATTCAGAATTAGTACGCAATCACTGATTTATTTTTAAAAGCTCGCACGAGAATGTTCATTGCTCAAATCCAGATCTTAAGGCAATAAAAAGTTTACAGGTAGATGTCCTCTTAAATAAGTATCATTGTAAGTACCGAACACTGATGCTTATCATAGTGATATAAACGACTTAATCCTAATTTGAGCTGACTTTGTATCATAACTAATCTTCCGAGTCCCTGCCAATAATATACCCAAAAACTGCAATATCCGCCAAAACACTTTCAAAGTAGTTCCTGAACTAACGTATATCTGGTACTAAATGATTTTCTAACCATTCCTAACGTTCACAATCCTTGGAATGTCGTAAAGATATCTAGGAATTTCAGGTCTTCAAATGAATCTTATCCGTGACAGCTTTATAATTTAGGATCTCAAAACCAGTTATGGTAGAAGTCAAGAACTACAGGATTCGAAAGCACATCATTGTAATTATTATGATTAATCGCTCATTCAATGTTATATTTTTACTACGATATAGAATTATCAGCACAAAGTATTCCAACAAGCTCCCTTTTCTTATTTCTTGATTGGTCCTGACAATAAATAATCAGCGATCGCCAGTTAGGTGTTACCAGTCCGGGACTCGACATCTGAATAATATTCATTCTTTTCAATGCAGATTGCCAAGCACCACATTGCCTCTGATTGTACTTTTGTAACTCGTACAGCAAAATGTCGCAAACTTTTCATAACCGCTCCTGAATAGATTATGTGATTAGTAGCCATATTGATGTGTTAAAATGAACAAAAACATGACCTTTTGAAACATCTGGACGGCAGAAACAGACATCTCAGATATTCAAGCAGGCTGCCAATGACTTTTGGAAGCTAGTCAGTATTCTGAAAGGTGTGTCGTCTAAGTTGAATAGCCTTTGCGATGTATCTGATCCAGATACTTTACAAGAGCTCTCTGTTATGGAGTGTCCAGTAAAAGCAATGTGGTCTGCAATAATGCCGAGGACTGACAGAATTATATAGTTTCGGAGTTTGCCCACAACTGCGACCAGTAAAAGACAGGAATTATTTATGATGATAAATCATAGAGAGCCAAATGATTCAAGAATTAGTTGCCACAATAAATTTAATTATATATAACAACAAAAGCTCTGGTGTGGATGGTAGAATATTCAAGATACTGTATGCATACTTGTCAAACCTGCATTGAATACAAAAAAATCCAGAACTAAGTAAGCATGACATACGTGTGACAAGTCAAGCTGTCAGTTGATGTATGAGAAGAGTGATATGCAGAAAAAATCAGTAAACATGATTACCTAAGTGACTAGATTTTGAGAGGTGAAGAGAGCGTAGCCATTTTGCAGGAGAATGTCGCCGAAGGCTTAGCAATCGACATTAAGTAAAATATTGCGAATAATTATGCAAAGAATGTCCACTTGTGGCCTACTGTTGGATTAAGCCGTGTATACGCAATATGCTCATTCGTAGTATGCCGCCTTACGAGTTATTTAAGTGTGCGTAATTCCGACCATAACTGACTTTTAATGAGCAGATACATACCAGCAAATTCAGTATCAAATCAAACGGCTGTTGGACATGTTGGTTCAGTGAAACGCTACTTAGCCCTAGCAAAATCAACTGTCAAGTTGAACCAATTCTACCTTTCACAAAAGATCAATGGACATTGGTCAGTTGTAAAGATTAGAGATGACTGAGGTTAGTTAGTTTATTGAACGTCATGGACTGGCCCTCGCCAGCCGTTCTTGCATTCTGTATTTCTCTAGCCTGTTTTAACTAACGCATTCCTTTAGTACTGTCACGTTTGTTCTATACATTTGTTGAAGAAGCCACAGCACGTTATTACTACAAAAGATCAGTCCATCTTTCCATTTCTCACGGTTTTGCCACTGTTAAATCTGGTTGTCACTTCATACGTCAATCCATGGCTCGACATTTTCACCACATGTACATGGGATGATATAGGTTCAGTGAAATGTCTGAAGCCTCAAACAAAATGTACATCAACCGGAATCGTCTCTACCTTAGACGGCTGAGAGTAGAACATTTTATTGTACCTCACCAAGATCAAGAATGATAAACACAGACTATTGTATAGAAAGTCATAAATTGGCCCAGGCTGCAGTGGTTCTACTCTGTATTTCTGAGATGTCCCTTAATGTAATAATTTCGCATTATTCTCCTTGTCATAGCCAATCACCAAGGAAATCGCCATGCCTGCTTATCATGAATAAAAGCCAGATTACGCATTGATGGTTTGGTAAGTTTCTGACGTGAGCTGCGATGCCACACTATTCCCGTCCACTGTCATCATCAGAATACTCAAACGATGCAAACGTTCTATCGTATTAGCATATATTACTAAGGTGAACTAAGTTGAAAATGAAAACTCATAACAAATTGAATGTAGGCATGATTGAACAGCAGACAACATAAAACTGGAAAAGTACAAAACTCAGTACGTAGTGGTAAATAACTCCCTAAAATAGATGGTGAGATAAACACAAATTATTATAAGGGACACTACTAAGCATCATCAGATCACTGTACGTCCATGACGTCATAAGCTTCTCCTCAGCTTATAAATTATACGTTCCTCGACGACTTCCAAAAATCGAACGTACCTTAGCTCAGAAATGTCAGCAACTTATTCCACATCCTCAGGTGGAATCGCTGAAAGTTACTTTCTACCAGTATCGTCCAATTCTGACGTTACCAGTATATCTTATATAAAATCAAGCCCTTGCAAATGAGGAAATCCAGGGGAGTAAGACACTGTTTACCACTATGTAAATATATTTTATTTTAATTGCCCTTGTATGCTTCTAATTAAGTACAATTGAGCTTTCCACTATTCATATGCAAGTTATTTTGTGTACCTAGAAATAGGAGTTGTGAAGACATTCCGTAAGATAATTGTGCTCAACTGTGATTAAATATTGTGCGAATTTGTGATTGAACATTGTATCTCAAGTAGTGTTACTTTAAATAGAGTTAATATTATATAGCTATGGAAATATCGGAAGTGGGAAATGAAAAGTCGCTACTTTACACCAAATGAGGTTTTAGCACATAACTCACCTGAGGACTGTTGGGTCTCGTTTCTTGGACATGTTTGGGATCTCACACCAATATGCGCACAGTACAAGGGTGAATATTGTTGACTGTTTCTATTCTACTTAGATCGCGTGTATATATACGCGTGAATATATTCATCAATCTAATCCGAATTACATTCGTCATTGCTGGGAACAGTTATATCATATATATAATTCTGATATGATAGTTATTTTAGCCTTCATAATGGTAATAAATACTCTGAACGTTCAATAAAATCTTATGTTCTACAATATCTGATCCGAAGCATTTAAGCATTTCCTCAATATGACTGAAATTTACCTGGCACTTGATCGTGATATATTCTTTTTCGTATTGGTATTTCTCACGAAAAACAGATGAATTCTTTCTGAATTGTTTGCAACTGATGGTGATAAGTGGTGTTATAATAGCTACTTCAGAATGGTTGGTGATTTCATTATTTATGATAACGCTCTAAGGAATAAATGTGAATTTAACTGATTTAAAAAAAGTTACAGCTGTGTTATGAAGAACCCACTGCTAATAACTAAGTGTAAAATACAGTCTAGTTATGTCTAGAAAAGTAGACAATGCGGTGTGCATTTGTTCGAAAATTAGACACTTTGGTGTAAATTCAGTGTCATTTGAAACATATAGCGACAGAAAGAGATGTCCGACTATTTTCCCTCAGCAGGCAAGGAAATGAGCTTTTTGACGCGTTACTCCTTATTTTATTAAGGGATATTTATTTATTTCCTTTATGTTCGTCTTTATTTCTGTTTTTTTGGTTTGTTTCGGTAAAAACGAATACACAAACAGTCACGGATTAATTTTTGAGTGAGTCCGGATTTGATCAAGCTGAAAGCTGTTTTCCGTCTTAAGAATACAGAATCCTAGCAAGATTTCGACCGTCACTCAAGAATGACTGACAAAGATTAGGCGAAACCCAGTTGCAATGAGACGAATACTGACAAAACTTAAGAAAAAACGATTATACCAAACTACATGTGCATTAAAAGACAGTCAACAGACTGATTGTGACGTGCTTTTAAGTGACTACATGGAAGCTGTTTTACTGCGTCTCATGACATTACATGAATTGAAAGATTATGTAGAGTGAAAGTACTGTCAAATGTCATTGAAGCTTTTCATGCCGATCAGTCTTGGTCGATTTGAAATTCAATTTTTTGCATTTATTTTAGGCAGCATACTTCTCCAGCCAATCTTAAACGAAGCTGGTAAAGATATATCACACTGGTTTGATGCAAAAACTGGTGACGTTCGCCATCACATCGATCCAGTTACGAACTGTTACGTACCTTACACACCCTTTGGTCGATTTGTTCACATACCACCACCTCATCCAACGACAGATTGGGCTACGGATTTCGGTATACCTTGGTGGAAAGACGAGAGATTAATTGTTGGGTACTTAACTAAGAAGACAAGATTTGTACGTATTTTTAACACACTTGCGCTACTTCAACACGAAATTGAGGTTTGTTTTCTTTTTTGTAAACTATTATAATTGTGCCTTTAGTTAAAAGAGTATTACTATCTCTGTCATTTGATCGAATGTAAACTACCTTCAGCGCCGAATTCTGTGACTTATTAAACAAATTAATACAAGAAGATAGTTAGTTAATTAAACACCTCTGAATATTTGTTTTGTGCCAAAATAAAATTCTAGCATGATCAAAAAATTAAAAGAAAGATAACTACTTTTCTTTACGGGATATACAAGGGTCAATCACCGTTTGATAAATCCAGGTTTTTAGAGGAAAAAATAGGTTCAAAATATCGTTTGATTCACATTCTCAAAAATATTTCCTATGTGAATTCGATTTCCGTTGGAAAGACAAACAGAAGTGGAAACCGAGTTAATTCAAACCCAATAATTATTGTCTTGAACCCTATAGAATCGTCCAATAGGCTGTTGGGCGTGATAAACATCAAGATTTTGATCTGGTACGATATCGTAATAAACATAAGGTCTTTTATTGTTTCAATATTAGTATTTAGGATTGGTTTTACAACCTATGGGTCTAATTCCGCCGCTAACTGCTATTCAAAATATAATCAGTCAAAAGAACAAAGGTATTATATAGACGTCCATCCAATTAGGTCATACGTTGTGAAATTTCGTCCAATCAGGCAACACCAAAAAAATAGGAACCATTTAATTTTAAAAAGATAATACCTATTGAGAAGGAGTCAACTTACTACGACTTTCGTTAATTGATTACTATAGTCGGTAAACCTGCATGTAAGGGAGTGTATTTTGTTCTCATGAAGCAAGAATAATTTTGGTATTGAACGATGAGAAAAATCTTCATCTGCTTACAGTGTTGGTCTTCTCCGTAGAATTAAACCACAGCAACTTTCAGTTTTATATATACCACTCTTCCCGCTTTTAAGTCGCAGTGCAAACAATAACATTATCCATTAAATAATTTGTTTTGCTAATCCAAAGCTTAGCTTATAATGTTTAGCATTTGAAGTAACAGATACTAGATTCAATTCTTACTGTGAAAATTAACACTGAAATTTAGGTACGCCAGTATGACTGGTTCCAAATAAGATTAAACATAGATCCTGAATCCAATTGTTAACCTACGTTTAAAACGTAACTAATTTACTTTGTAGATTATCTCTTTGGTGATAAAAATCAAAATTTGTTTACAATAAAAATATACCGACCTGTTGATTGCATCATGTTACTTGTAAAATATTCGTCGATTTTATTTACAATGTAAAATGTTAAACTATTTTGGTTTTTCTATTTAAACAATAAACTTTTGTTTCTTAAGCTGTTTACTTCAAAAAATATCTTACTCCGTAGACCTTTTGTTATGTAGACGCTTTGAGAATGTGAAATCGGGAAATATATTTTTCTAAAAACTTGTCCATTTTTTTTATTTTAAATGTATTATTTCTTTTTTTCTGTCGATTAGGTGTGCGTTGAGGAGACTATCACAGATATTCTTGTTCGTTATTTAAAATTTAATTCACACGCTGCCTCGTATACATGGAAGTATAATGGTGTTGTACTAGATATGGAGAAAAATCTTGAGGAGAATAATATTAAGGAAGAAATACAAGATATTGAAGATTTATTTATGCCTCAAATATATCTTTATTACAATGACGATTTGACTGAGGCATAATTAAGCAATAAGTCAAAAGAGTCACTTATGATTGCATGCTTATTTGTACGCAACAAATATAAGTACCATTATTTACATGAAAGTACATTTCTTTAGGGACTTTCATTTGATATAAAAAAATCTATTAATTTAAAGTTTTTGTTTTCTTATGTGTTTTATTGGCTGTTATAAATTTTTAAAACGGTTTATGTGATCAGGTTTTAATGATAAGCCAGGATCTATGAAGTAGATAAAACTGAAAATTAAACAGTAATTCACCGATGCTATTGATTACCTCACTAATATATCAGTAGGTAAAAAATGATCATCAAATGAATTTAAGATAATACTACTTAAAAAATAAATTATTACAAGGAATTTTATGGGAATAGTCAAATTTTTGCAGTTTAAATCAAGAACGCATCTTAGCTAGACTACCAATTATAACGAACAAACACTGGACAGTCGTTTCGTTCTAGTACGAGACTTCACAACAATGCACATCCACGAACCTCCATCCGATTATTAAACTGAGGATCTTCAGTATCCTTCACTAACGCTTAAATTCTAGACCGCTGAGCTGGAATCCACGTTTATTTTATCAATATAAAAGACCATTATATTTAAAGCTCTTATTTCCATAATATAAAATGTTCCTCCGGTCTGAATTATTGAAGATTTTCAGCTGCTATCATACTGATGTTAATCATTAATTGTCATATAATCGTATTCTATCATAAAATAAACTCAAAGATTAAAAAGGTTCAACTAACCTATCTAAATATTTTTACAGAAGCAGTTTAGGACCTTCTAGTTAAAAGCATGATGACCTAGCCCTCCTATCACATACACACGAACAAATGCAGATAAAGACAGCCAGCATAGCAGCAGTCTCTGCATCAGTAGGCCTCAACATACACAAAGGGAAAACCAAGGTCCTCAAACACAACACGGAGAACAGCAATCCAATCACTCTTGATGGCGAAACTGTGGAAGACGTGGAATCCTTCACATACCTGGGAAGCATCGTCGATAAACAAGGAGGTTCAGATGCAGACGTCAAGGCGAGGATTGGCAAAGCTAGAGCGGCATTCCTTCAACTGAAGAACATATGGAACTCAAAACAACTTTCAACCAATATCAAAGTCAGAATCTTCAATACGAACGTCAAGGCAGTTCTACTGTACGGAGCTGAAACCTGGAGAACTACAACAACCACCATCAAGAAGGTACAGGTATTTATTAATAGCTGTCTACGCATGATACTCAACATCCATTGGCCGGATACCATCAGCAACAGCCTTTTGTGGGAGAGAACCAACCAGCTTCCAGCTGAAGAGGAAATTAGGAAAAGAAGATGGAAATGGATAGGACATACATTGAGGAAATCATCAAACTGCATTACGAGACAAGCGCTAACTTGGAATCCTGAAGGGAAGCGGAAAAGAGGAAGGCCAAAGAACACATTACGTTGGGAAATAGAAGCAGATATGAAAAGGATGAATAAGAACTGGAAAGAGCTTGAAAGGATTGCCCAGGACAGGGTTGGATGGAGAATGCTGGTGAGCGGCCTATGCTCCTTCACGAGGAGTAACAGGCGTAAGTAAGTAAGTAAGTTAAAAGCATGTATGGTGAACACCAGTATTGTACTTATGAAACAGTTAATTCCTAATTTATTCATTGATAGTTAAGTGAAAATATCTTCGGTATATGAGATTATGACCATCCGTTTAGGGATAAATCCAAAAATACTTACTTTGAAGTTGTATTATTATATTACATATCCCTTAGAACTACTCCAAACATAAAATCATCAAGAAGTAATGGTGAAGTTAGGAAAAGGTTATTATTTAACGTTGATAAAAAACGGTTGGTAGGGCTATATACTTTCATCAGCTGAGGTCAGTTATGTATGCGCAACGTTTGCTCAGTTACTTTCTACTACAAACCACAAAGTATGTTGGTATAGGAGCTGATGAAAACAAGTCTATGAAGTGAATAACTGCTGTACTAAATTATATCAAGAGTTACGTAATACACGACTGGCATAAAATGGATAAATATAATCTATAACCTTAGACTTCAGAAGCTATGATTCGAAACAGGCCACAATGGTGCATATATATGGTTGTTTTTATCTGCTGTTTTACCCTGAATTTGAGCATTATTTCGTCTCATTTTTTATTTCGAACTGTGTTTTTTATAATTTATTCTCGGTTATCGTTGAAAATACTATCCTAACCCATTTCTATTTTATCTAAACAATTCCCTCTTTAAATGTGCTAATTTGAAATGTAACAGTTCTTACTAAGACACATTTCTGACAACGCTTATACTGTTTACGATTGACTGTTGAGGACTAGCTTTTAAAACATTGATATTTTCTCTTTACATGCTCTTAATTCAGATAATATTTAACCATTAAACTACAATAGTTTTTCTCAATACAACCATTATATCATATGTGAATATTTCCAAATTAAATTAATACTATTTACTGGGATCTTCAATATTCTTTGTGAATCTAAATAAGAAGAAACCTATATTTATTGTGTTTTGGAAAAAAATTGCGTCAAAAAAATGTACAATAAAATAGATCAGTCAGCTACAACGTAGGACCAGGCACATATATGTATCGGTCCAAGTTGCCATACCTCTTTAGCGCAGCAAGATGAACACCAAATTCATAAAAGCAGTCACTTTAGTGGTAGTAATATATGTAAATAAAGATTACATATGAGGATATGATACAGGGAGAGATAATAAGTTGATAGAAAGAAAGGTATAAGGCAATTTTAATCTGACGGTTTAAGGAAAGACAAAGAGTGTATACACCTACGCCATTGTGATCGGTTATGAGCCATGTCACCAAGTCTCCAACCATTAGTTATAATAGTCACGCGGACCCCAACCAAATAGTCCGTATCTACCAAAATGGCCAAAACTAGAAGTTAGTGACTTCAAGCACTGATGCCACGTTTTGGTTTGGCCGCGCCTAAATTTCTCCCAACCATCTCCAACACCAGTCATATCACATAAAGTCTCCAATCATTGGTTACGATAGCCACACAGACCCCAAACAGTACAAGACGAAAGAAAGATATAAAGGTAACAATTAAACAAATAATATCAGTTGATCATATTTCTTAGTATTTTCACTAAACTAATTAAGAAAGTCAGGTTCAAATAAAATCTCTTTTTAACAATAAAAAAAGGTAGAAATTATGTTACTTTCTTTGTTGGTAATACAAATACAATGTTTGTTTTTTTGTTCATATATGACAGATGCATCAATATTGGAATTAATTACCTGTTATTTTCAGATTTTATTTTCCTATTCATCGAAGTATGAAATACACTTCTACCTAATTACTAATTTGTTTTCATAATGTCAAAATGATAAATATTCTAGACAATTTAATTCCATACATCTTAGTATAAATGTAAGATAAAGATTATATTGTAATATACGCTTGAATGTATTCAATAATATGTTATCGAAGTAAATAAGAGATTTCATTTATAAAATTGAACAGTGAAATTGATTAGATTTGATCTATCAATGTAATATGTAATTTGAATTAAAGATAACAGTTAAAGTAATAATATTAGTTGGTTATATATCAAGGTATTTTCTCTTTATTATTAAACTTATTAAGAAGATCAAGTTCAAATGCTTAGATTGAACTAATAGTTTAGGCGGTGAGATTATAATTTATGAATGATCTTTGAGCGACGTTAAGATAATCTTAAGAGTGTCTACCTACTTATTAGGGCTAAATAAGGGTTATAAATCAGTTTGAAGAATAAGGATTATGATTTACAGTTGATAGTTAGGGTTAGAAATTAGATTTAGGGTTTTCATCACAAATCGACATTAGCTATAATGCCAAGACTCTATTTAACCAAATGAGGGAATGAATTTCGCGCTAAAATCTAAGACCTGTTATCTTATACCTGATTGGTTTGTCTATAAATTATAGTCTTGCCGTTTAGACAATTTAACTACCACTGTTTAAAGTATTTGAAGTTAACCTATTAACACTTATTGTTCTCTTTCATTTCAAGTTATTTTCAGTTATTACAACTATTTTACAGTTCTGAAACCTGATGTAAAATAACCATTTGGTGTTGATAGAAAACAGGATGTACGATTACTGTAAGTGATACATAGTTTCAGTCTACACACAGTGAAAACAGGGAAAAGTACAGTTTTTTAATCTGGTCACAGATGTATCAATAAGATCTTTATCTGTTATCAGTTTTGAAAATTGGCATTCTGACTGGTGTTTGACTATAATTAACACGCAGGTCACACATAACTAATTAATACTTCAGTGACTACGTTAACTGATATTAGCCAGGACTATTTATTATACATCATTGTGATTAACTAGACAATAATTAAGACCCTAACGAATTTAAAATTTATATTTAAATCTTTAAAAATGTATCGCTCGCGTGTGGATCTTTACATTAACCTAAATTTCATCAGTGATAAAATGCATAATCTTGTACAAACTCAGGTAATAGTGATAGAACTTCGAGAATGAACGTGTTAAACATAAATTATTTCCTCAGGACTGGTCTATGTGACCTCATATTTTGATCAGTACTCTCAATAAAAGTGATTAACTTGGGTATACTCCTTTTTACTAATAAGTGGTATAAATGCTTCAAGTTAAAATTAGTTAAGGACAAAACATGAAATAAATGGATTTATACTATTCTACTATCTTTACTTCAACGTATCAGGAGATTCTAAGCCCCAAGTAGCATCATCATAAGGAATGGATCTCTATTGACACCCTGGGAAAGATTCAAAAAGGAAACAACAAGAAGACATCAATTAACAACAGCCGAACACGAGCAGAAAAAGGCAAGACACAAGCTGAATACATAGAAGCTAACAAGCAAGTAAACAAGAGCATTAGAGCTAACAAGAAGAATTAAGTAGAAGACCTGGCAACGACAGCGGTCAACGCAGCAAGAGAAGGAATTACGAGACAACTATTCGGTAT